TTCTCCAAAGCTTCTGAACAAAATGCAATGATGTGGCATCGTCATCTCGGTCATGCAAATGCAAAGAACTTGAATCGGCTTGCGAAGAATGAATTGGTGCACGGGCTACCCATTAAAGACTTCATTACTTTTGAAAAATGTGTTTCATGCGCTCAGGGAAAACATCATCGGAAACCACACTTTCCAAAGCAAATAAACTCCATAAGTCAAGTGCTCGAGTTATTGCATATGGATTTATTTGGTCCGGATAATGTTCTAAGCATCAATCGCAACTCTTTCTGCCTTGTTGTGATAGATGATTACTCTCGTTTCACTTGGGTTTTCTTTCTGTCTAACAAAGCTGAAATTCCTGACCTTATCCAAAGATTCATTGTGATGATCGAAAATCAGACTACAAATCGAGTGAAAGAGTTGCGTACTGATAGTGGAACAGAGTTCAAGAACGCTGTTGTTGATCATTTTTGCGCTGAGAAAGGGATTGTGTGTCAGTTCAGTTCTGTTCGAACACCACAACAAAATGGGGTTGCCGAACGTTAGAATCGAACTCTAAAAGATGCCGCAAGGACGATGCTATGTGATTCCAAGCTTCCTATATTCTTTTGGGCAGAGGCGATTAACACCGCGTGTTATGTTCAGAATCATGTGCTAATCAAGAAATCCATAATGAAGACACCGTATGAGATTCTATTTGGACACAAACCATATGTCAGTCATTTCCGAGTATTTGGCTGCCCTTGCACCCTTCTCCACTTGGAATCCAATCCCAAATTCAATGCCAAAGACGATGACTGTTACTTTGTTGGATATGCTGCTCGAATTGCATACAAGGTTTACAATAAGAAGACTAAATAGATTGTAGAATCCTTTGATGTTCGTTGGCTCGAGGAAAATGAGACAGATGCAAGAGTGGGTCGTGATTGGTTATTTGACTACACATCTCTTTTCAAATCATTCAATGTGTGTTCAGATAATCAAGAAGGATCTATTAACAATTTGAAAATTCAATGTGTGCTCATTTTGAATCTTCTGAGTCTCCTCAACAACCTTCTCCCGATGCTATTGTTACTTCTTTAACTCCGATGGAAAGAGAGTTCATGAACCACGAGACTTCCTCTGTAACTTCAAATTTGATGGAACTTCTCTTTCCAGAAAACATTGCAGAAGAGTTTGTAGCAGATTCTTCAAACGAACCTTGTTCATTCTCTATGGATCATACAGCAAATGATGGAGCGGTTAATAGTGATAATCTTCCTGTTTCTATGAATGATAATAGCTATCAGATCCCTACACATATTCAGCGAGATCATCCGATAGAGAACATGATTGGCCAGTTGGGCGACGGTTTTCAAACGAGAAGTCAAAGTAGGGATGTTAATACATGTCTCTACTCTTGCTTCATCTCTCAAATAGAACCCAAATCTGTGGAAATGGCTCTGAATGAGCCCAACTGGGTTGAAGCCATACATGATGAATTAAATCAATTTGAGAAACTCGGAGTCTGGAAATTGGTGGAGCTACCAAAAGGAAAGAAATCTCTTGATACTCGTTGGGTATTTCAAAATAAACAAGACGATTCAAGTGTCATTATGTGCAACAAGGCAAGATTGGTGATTCGAGGGTTTCGACAGGTTGAGGGTCTTGATTATCCGGAAGTTTATGCTTCGGTTGCTCGTTTGGAAGTCATTCGTGTCATCCTTTCTTATGCTTCCTACATGAACTTTACTGTATACCAAATGGACGTCAAGACGGATTTCTTGTACGGCAAAGTCAAGGAGGAGATTTACATTGACCAACCACCTGGTTTTGTTACCTCATCTCTTTCAAACCATGTTTATAAGTTAGACAAAGATTTGTATGGATTGCATCAAGCTCCTCGAGCTTGGTATGCTACTCTTACTCAACATTTGCTCAATCACGGCTATTTCCGAGGCACCATTGATCAAACCTTATTTATGAAGCATGTCGGTCTAGATCAAATTCTCATTCAAATTTATCTGGACGACATCATTTTCAGGTCGACAAGCCAACAAATTTGCAAGGAGTTTGAAGCGGTGATGAAGAAGCGCTTTGAGATGAGTTCACTTGGGGAAATGACCACGTTTTTGCAGCTTCGGGTCAAACAATCTTCAACCGGAATCCTTATTCATCAAGAAAAATATGTGGAAGATGTACTGGAGAAGTTCGGGTTTCGAGATGCAAAACCTGCTCTTACGCCCATGGCGGAACGGCCTCTTCTGACTCCTGATCTTGAGGGTGAATCCGTAGATCAAACTCATTATCGATCAATGATCGGATCACTCATGTATCTTACTGCTAGTCGCCCATACGTCATGTTTGCGGTCTGTCAATGTGCTCACTACCAGGCTAATCCTAAACTCTCTCATTTAATTGGTGTTAAAAGGATTTTTCGGTATCTCAAAGGGTGCCCAAAACTAGGTCTTTGGTATCCGAAAAATCCCGAATTTGATCTTTATGCTTTTGCTGACAGCAATTATGGCGGGTGTGAGCTTGATAGAAAATAAACATCAGGAGGATGCCAATTTATGGGAGATAGACTTGTGTCATGGCAGTGCAAGAAGCAGCACACAGTCTCAACCTCAACAGTAGAAGCGGAATATGTTGTTGCATCTGCTTGTTGTTCTCAAGTCATTTGGATCCAACATCAGTTGTTGGACTATGGTTTGAATTTTTAAGAAAGCCCTATTTTTTGGGATAATGAGGTTGCGATTCAAATTGCCTAAAACCCGGTCCAACACTCAAAAACCAAGCACATCGACAACAACATTCATTTTATTCGAGAATGTTATGAGCGTTTGCTCATTCGGCTAGAACAGGTCCGCTCTGATAATAATGTAGCAGATCTGTTCACCAAGCCTTTTAACAAAGCTCGATTCGTTGTGATGGTTAATTTTCTAAAAATTATTCGTTTTGAGGATTAGTTTTTTATTTTATTTCTTTATTTTTTTAGCATAAATTTGCGCATTTTATTTTATTTTATTTTTATGCACAAATTTAGGGGGAAAAAATAGAAAATCCAAAAACATTAAAAAATAGAAAATCCAAAAACATTAAAAATAGAAAATCCAAAAAATTAAAAAATAGAAAATCTAAAAACATTAAAAATTAGAAATTATGTTTGAGGGAGATGTTCGGGGAAGTGATATGATTATGTGATAACAGGCAACCTGAGTTTGTGTAACGTACCCAAAGTTGAAGGGTCTATGCTCTGGTTTGATGTGTCAGTAGGCACAAAAGATTTTAAATGAACATGACTAGGCAGAGTTGAACTTAAGGAATCTATAGACTTGACGAACCTTGATCTAGTTAGATCCGTTCAGTCTGATAATACGACGCTCGGATAGGTTGAGCATGGAGATATATATGGGAATCTACTCGTCACATTAAATGAACCCGTATTTGGAACCTTGGTTTAACTTTTCCTCCATGTTCGGATTCTATCCTTAATTCCGGTATTGATGGGGCAACTGGTAAATTCCGATAAATTAGGTCTGTATAAAATCATTTTCTTTCTTTCTGTCTGTTAGTCATATGTTACCTCCTCTGCGTGATTGAAAGAGATCTGACCTGGACTGTAACATATGCAACTCTATTTCTATGCATATTATACATATACATATATGAAATTCGTCTTATCTGTTAGCCATATGTTGTCTCCTTTGCGTGACTAACAATCCGACCTGGTACACAGCATATGCACTATAAGTGATAATACTCTGAATCTATCTTCTCCCCTAATGATGGTCTGCTCATCCGATGTAAGGAGTACTCTGGAAGTCCTTGATTACCCGGGCATATCTGGAAGTGGGAAACATGTTCCAGTAAAATTAAAATTGAACACTCACAGATTGTCTATAGATCTCGTTGCTCAATTTAGGTGGACAACAATATCCGTGGTCATCGTCAGCAGAATGGTCCTTAAGATATATTATCTAGGAACTTAGGATCACATTGTCTTGTCACTCATTACTGTGTCCTAATTTTGTCACAATTTTTCGTGTTTAAGTGGATAACAATACCGACAATCGACCAGATAAAGATGTGAATATGAAAGGTACCGACAAGCGGATAATGGTTGTCTAAAAACTTTGATCCCTAAACCTCATCAAGTTAAAACAGTTTATATAGGTTTAAATTGAATAGTTTATTCCTTATCAAATTTTTATTCTACTCTATTTTTAATTTTTTTTAGTATTTTTAATTTTTATTCTTATTTTTATTGTTTAATTTTTTTTAATAAGTTTTAGTTTATTAGGAATTTTGAAATTAATTTCACATTAATCCTCAAAATAATTCATTTTGAGAAAATGGTGAGTGAAAGGGGCATCGGCGTTAATGATTAAAAGATAAAGGGGAGAAGTTGAAAATTTTGTGCATATATAAAGCATGTGTGCGGTGAGCCTTTTTCACCATCATTTACTTTTGCCTCAACCGCACATGCACACTGTTTCTCTCTATATCTCATTCTTAATTCCAAAAATTTCTTGTGAAATCAAAGATTTGACTCGGTAAATTCTTAGGAACTCGGTAAAAATTTTCATTGTTTGTTGTTAGATCTTGATTGTTTGCTGTTGGATCTTCACAAAAAATTGTTTGTCTTCAAAAATAATCGCACACAGGCGTGTGCGGCTGCATAATTTTGTGGATGTGCGGTTGCGGCCGCACACTTGCATGTGTACGGCTGTGTGTAATCATGTGTGTGGCTTCATTTTTATTGTTTTGTACTAATAACTTTGTGTGTTCACTTTCAGATTAACATGGGAGACTTGGAATTTGCTAAAGCTCATAATTCTGCAATTGTTCTCGAAGACCCTCCTGCAGTCCACAATGACTTAAAATTCATTGTGGATGGCTTCAAGAAATCCTGCTTGGTTCATGCCCTAATTACAAATCCTGCTATCTACCAAAGTTTGATTAAGGATTTCTAGAGAAATGTTGTTGTAAAGAAGAATGATCGAGGTGAAAAATTACTAGAAGCAACAATGGAAGACAAGAAAATTCTAGTAACAGAAAGCATTATTAGAGAATCTCTTCAAATTGAGGACAGACCTAAGTACCCCATGGAGATTGACATTCAACAAATTGAGGAAATTTTAGAGCATAAGGGATACGAAGGAAATTTTCCTCCTACAATCAAGAAGTTTCTTCCTCCATGCTGGAAGCTTTTGGTTCATGTGTTCGTGAGTTGCATTTCGGGTCGGAGATCAGGAGCAAACAAGATTTCTCTAGCCAACACTGGTGCCATTGCAGCATTGGCAGCAGGTTTTGTGTTTAATTTCTCAAAATTCATAATGAATGAAATGATACTAAATCTTGAAGGGAGAAAAAGAGACAAATTTTGTATGTATCCAAGATTTTTACAAATTATCCTTAACGTAACTCACCCCGAGTTGCAGAGAGGAAATGATACTCTGGATTTCAAATCCATTGGTCCAAGTGCCTTTGGACTAATGAAGCAAAAGAGAGGCGGAAAGTTCGTATTTGAAGGAAAATTTCCATTAATAAAATTTGCAATTTTTAAAGAGGATGTCAGAGAAGAATCAGCAGAACAATCCATGCCAATGGAAAATGAAGATATTTCTCTCTCCCCCTCCGGGCCTAAAGTGGAGGAGATTCATCACTCTCCCACAGCTTATGTAGCTGATGAGCATGATAATCAGAAAGCAAATGATTCAAAAGCTTCTCGAGAGGATGATGACGATGATCTTTATGAAGATGTGAAATTTTTGAAAGAAATCGACTTTATAGGAATCAATGATGACATTCCAACAAACATAGAATTTGATTTTGGTGATGAAGATTTTGTTCCTTTTCTTGACATTCCCAGCAACCGTGTAAATAAAGTCAATGAAGTTGCTTCTTTACCAACTAAGACTAGAGATGAAGGAAATGTTCTCAAAATTCTACTCTCTACCTCAAAGCCCTTGGAGGTCACAACAAGTCAAGGAGATGTGACATCAGAGATTCTTCCGTCTGTGTCACTTGTCTCAACATCATCTCCAATCATTTCTGTCTTATCTGAACCTTGGACTTCTCAGACTTCCATAAGAACAAGCTAATATCTTGAAAGTCTGGAGTTACCCTCTGTAAAATGTGCTCCTCAAGTTATTTCAACAATCACTACAACCTCTACTCACTCTCCTCCAAAGCAGTCTGATGAAGGTCCAAGTACCATGTTTGAGACTGGTGGATCCTCTTCTATTCCAGAATATTCTCCAACTCGAACTTCTCTAGATGAAGCTTCTATCAGATTAGTAAAACATCTGGCTCAATCTAGTCCAACCTCTTCACGCAGGAAAGGAACATCATTTAACGAGGGTCGGTCAGATGATGACAAATTCTCTTTGTCTGATCTCCAAGAGGAAATTGGAGTTTTCGCCAACAGCTCATTGAAAAGTCAATTCAAATGGATCAACATTATGCACATATCTTTGAGCTCAGGGCAAAGGATGAAGAAAAGACCAAACAAATCAATGATCTACAAACGAGTCTTGGATCTGTTCTAGCTAATTATCTCAATCTCAAGAACGTATTTTATGATACTTTTGGTGAAAAAGTTAAAGCCCTCTTCCAACAGCCTCATGGAGTAGTTGATCCTCCTTCTGTTCAATCACCTCCTGCAACTGATGATCTACCTGTTAACCCACCTGCTCCAAGAACAACTACAATTGTCAACAGATTTGAAAAAGAACCTGAAGGAAGCAGAGCCAGAATCACAATCAAACAGGGCAAAAGAATTGTGACTGCAAATCAACGTGAAGTACTTTTATTCATCAAAAATACCAATGAAAATCACAAAGCAAAAGACCCTGCTCTGACTGTAGCAGATTTGAAAAAGAGAAAGTTTGGCGACAAGTATGGCGATAGATCTGGTATCCGTATGTGGGCTTTCGATCCAGAAATGAATTTGTGGGTGGTAAAGCGAAACTCAGGAATATCTGAGTGTTACAAAAGCACCCATGATTTCAATTCTTGCATTATCTAGGGTCCCCTTTCAAAATCCCTCGCAAGATCCAAGTGAATCTAACTTTAAGAGGTTCCTTGATAGGTAGGTCAAAGAAAATTTTCCCATTATAAAGACTGCCAAAGCCTTTTATCGAAAGGATAAGGATGTTCTCGACACAGAAACAAGCAAACCTATGAAGATTATTTTATGGCCTGCAACAAAAAAGCAAAACGAAATTCCATTCCCTCAGCATTCAAGGAGGGATATCATGACAATATGGAATTTTGGGCATACGATGAAGAAACTGCAACTGCTGCTATCAAATTCAAGGATCAAGAACAAGTTTTGAGGCTGATTAATGCAAAAGATCTTCTTTGTTTTCAAGAAAGGGATATTCGGACTCTGGCTCGTCACCAGATAATCTGCAGAAAAGACGTAATGGAAGCTGCTGCTAAAGAATACACTATAATGGTGTCTACAATCATAAATGGAAGATTATGGATGGGATCGATGGGGAGATCAGATATGAGGCTGTTTGAGAAGCCTGTTGAGGAGCCAAAGGAGTGAAGACAAGACTATGCTAGTCTCAAACCAAGGGGGAGACTGAAATAACATAATTTTGTGATTTGAGCTAGGAATCATTTTGCAGTGATTGTGTGTTTTCTTGTAATGTGTACTGCCACACATGTGTGTGCGGCCGCACTCATGTGTTCGGCAGCACACTCTTGTGCTGGTAGAAGGAGTACTATTTATAGCAACTAAGTTGTGTCAGTTTGTACTAGTTGCTTTGTGTCAGAACTCTGCAGTAGTTGTACTTTTCTCATGATGTACTTGAGAAAAGTACATCTTGAGCTTCATTTCTCAAGATTGATTGACAAAATTAATTTTAAAAACAAAACAAAAATTAATTTTTGATACAAAATTAATTGACAAAATTAATTTTTGATATTATTAATTTATTTCTCAAGATTCAGATTCTTTACCTCGTGGAAAATAAATATCAATAAGTGAAGGAAGTTTAGGGGGAGCAGGCGCATCTATCTCAGAGCTCAAGGAGGAGATCACTACTCTTAAACAGAAGATCATCGAGAAAGACGTTCTGATCGGAAACCACGATATTCGAGTTTCCGAGCTTGAAGGAGAAAACTTTCAGAAGTCTAAACAGATCTCCAATCTCCAGCTTAATGTTGGTGCCCTATCAGCACGCTACTCTGACTTGAAGAACAAACTTATTGCAGAATTTGGTGACAAGTTCAAGACCACAGTCGAAGAGTCTTGCGCAACTGCAATGATCAAGTTTCAAGATAGCGATTACAGTATTCGTCTTGTTTGATGCTAAGGATCTTCTGCAATTCAGGAAGCGATACAAGCACACCTTGATGATGCTGATTAGAAAGACAGAGTCTATGCTAGCCTCAAACAAAGGGGAAGACTGTTAGGTCAAAATTTGTTGGTTTGGGATAGGCATCTATCTATATAATTCTGACGTGCTTCTGATCGAAGAAGACCTGAGTCCATGCTAGCTCAAACCAAGGGGGAGATTGTTAGATCAGAATTTTGTGGTTTGAGCTAGTGATTCATCTTGTATAGGTCTTGGTAGGGTCTTGGGGTTTGCTATGTTGGTTGTAGTATGTTAGCGAGTGTGAGCGGCCCTACACGTATGTGTGGCTACACATTCTGTGTGCGGCCATACACATGTGTGCGGCCATACACATGTGTGCGGCTATACATACGTGTGCGGATGTACACATGTGTGCGGCTGGTGGTCCTACAAATAGAGTGTCTGTGTCGGTTGTATAGAGACGTCAGTGACGTATGTTTGTGTTTTCCCAAGGTGTACCTGACATTTATTCGTAATAGATGTGTGCATGCTTGGATTAATTATTCTTCTAATCCTTCTACACTTTGTTTGATTGTTTGCCTTAATTGATCACTGATTTGGATCTATAGTTTTTGGGACTTACATCTTGGTAGGGACTAGATTAAAGATATGGATGGTAGTCTCTAAGGCATACCCCTAGAATGAGATAGGTAATGGAACTTGACTCAAGAGGGAACGAACCATGTCCAAAAAGGTTTGATTGCGCCTCTTAGCCACACCATTAAGTTGTGGTGTTCTGGGAGGTGTCAATTGTGGAACAATTCCACATTCCTTAAGATAGTAAAGGAAATCTTTACTTAGATACTCTCCTCCTCCATGGGATCGGAGCATCTTAATGTTCCTTCCCAACTAATTCAAAGGTTTCTTTATTATGCTTGATTAAGTAGGCATAACCATATCTATTTTACTCATCAATAAAAGTTTCATAGAAGCGGTATCTCTTAAAACTCAGTTCAACTATGAAATGTCATTTTAGATAAGTGATCATATAATCCCCTGTTCCAGATAGGAACAAAATCGTACTTATTTTCCATCAGTTTGTTTCCCGATTTCCGATTTGTTTGACTAAGAACTAAACTGAACACATCAATTTGGTTCTTACCGGGCATGAACCATTGGTCATGTAAGTCCCTGATCTGCTTGTGTATCAATCAAATCTAATTGATGGTGCGGAATCCAATCAATTGGATGATGTCAGATCAAATAAAAGAGAAGGAGAAGAAGAATAATATGAATCTTGTGATGTATTCAACGATAAGAATGATGCTGCAACACATAAGATTCTATCACACACACAATTCTTCTGTCTAGTTTCTCTCTATAGAACGTGCTCTCCTTGTCTCTCTTTTCTAGCCTTACACTACTCTCCCTATATATATGAGACATGGGACACCAGCAGCACACGAGTGTACAGCTGCACACACCTGTGTGGCCCGTACACAGGGTGTGCGGCCGCACACACATGTGTAGCCGTACACATCCACAAAATTACAGAAAAATATATTTTCTTAGAAAAGCAAAGTATAAACCATATTTTTGACCCAACAATCTACCCTTTGGTTTATAGCTTTCTTTTCTAATTGGCCCAACAAACTCCCCCTAAAAAGTAGCTGGCTTTTCTTGTTAATCTTCATTGGGAGCTTGGCTTCAGCATTAATCTTCAAATTTTTTCACAGCATCAAGATGAACATATGAATCTTCAATAAGTGACTTCATCTTGAGCAGTTGGGATTTATGTAGAATTTGACATTGAATGCATATTGGGTGAGGAGGCTTCCTGTAGAGATTCATGAAAGATGGCGCTTTCAGTTTGAGAATCTTCAGAGAGAACAAATCTTCTGGATCACTTCCGCAGGTTTATAGATAGCAGCAAACTGATTGAGGAGGCTTCAATACAATCTGTCACATAGTCTTCAGTCGCAGCTTAACCTTGCTTCTAGGGTTGAAGGATTTAATGTTTAAAGAATAATCTTCATTTGTGGCTCCTTCGAATTAAAATTCATCGATGATCACGGACAAAGCCTTAACTCAGAAATGTCGATACAGTCGCCATGAGTCTCATCTACACATGAATTCACTTTTCAAGCCTAAGCAAAACTAAAAGAAAAATTATCACACAAAAAATATTTTTGGATTTTTGATATTTTCTGAAAAAACTAAAATAGAAATAACACTATTAGTTTTTAAATTTTGAATTTTCTATTTTTTTGTTTGATTTTTGAATTTTTCTGATTTTTGTATGATTTTTGAATTTTTTTATTTTATTATTATTATTATTATTATTGTTTTATTATTATTATTATTATTATTATTATTATTATTATTATTATTATTATTATTATTATTATTATTTTTAAATTCTCTCCCTAAATTTGTGCATAGAGGAAAACTATGAACAAATTTAAGAAAAACAAAAATATTTGGGATCAAAGTTGCTAGACAGTCTTAATCCATTTGTTAGTACCTTCCCCTTAATGAATAGATATTATCGATTGCCGGTATTGTGGTCCACTTAAGCACGAAAAATTGTGACAAATTTTCGACATGCTATAAGTGGCAAGACAAGTTGATCCTATGTTCCTAGATAAAACTTCCTAAGGACCATTAATCTAACGACGACCAAGGATATTGTTGTCCACCTAAGTTGAGCAGCAAGATCTACAGACAATCTATAATTGTTCAATGTTAGTTGTACTATAATGTGTTTCCCGCTTCCTGTCTGTTGGGTTTTA